GTTCAAGGAGGACGTGGCAAAGTTGCACAAGCCACTGGCGGCCATCCTGGTGGGGAAGGAGATCCCGGAAGACCTGGCGGATCGCTGGGACACCCCGGCGGCGGCTAGGGAGAATGGTCCCCGGGACCTGGGATTCCGGGATGGGGAGAACGGGTTCAACGCCCAGACCTCGGCCTTCACGGCGATGCGCCTCCTTCAGGCAGTCCGGGTGGCAGCCAGCTTGATCAGGGGGGGCAACCAAGGTGATCACCCGGCGGGCCAGGCGGGCCCGACAAAGGCGCCCTTGGAGGTCCTGTGTGACAGGCGCCAGCTGGAGGATGCTTACGTGGCCACGCGTGACGCCGAAGCCGAGGTTGGAGTTCCAAGGGAGTGATGGCTACCTCAAGAAGCAGTGGCGCATGATTGCCAAGGGTGAGCTGGGCTACATCCCGGCAAAACACATCGTGAGCGCGCTCCCGGAAGAAGGGGAACGCCCCTCATCCACCCACAAGAAGATCACGCTGGACGGCTGGGACAGGGAGGATGAAGAAGAGGTGAGGAGCCACCCTACATCCCGGCGCCAGCTGGAACGTTTGCACCTAACCTTCAGGACGACGCTCCTGATGTGCACGGCAGCACTGCCACAGTTGGCAACCTGAAGGTCACCAAGGCGGAGCTGGATGATTGGTATGCCTGGTTCTATGGGGAAGACATCGCCGGCAGGAAGCCTTCCCCGAGCGACACCACCTTGCTGTTTGCAGAGCGCAATGCATGGCGCAAGATCTCTCCGATGCCCTCAAGAATATCAGGGGCGACTTCCTCTTCTGGCAACGGGAGGTCTATGAGCACCTCAACAGGGCGCCGGGGAAGAGCAAGGGCAAGGCACCCAAGGTGTGGCAGACTCAGTGGGAGAAGCCCAAGAAGGGGGGGAAAGGCTCCTGGCCCTCGGGGCCGACCCGGTCCAAACCGAAGGGCGGCAAGGGGAAGTCCCCCAACACCCCCTCGGTTCCATGGCCGGACCACTGGGCTTTCAAGAATCCCAAAGGGGTGGCGTACTGCAGAGATCATCACCTCCACAACAAGTGTTCGGGATCTTGCGGCCGATCGTCAGGAAGGATGGGTGGGTGTGCGATGCCCCCCCTTCGAAGCATGTGCCACAGGCATGCCCTCACCTTCCCAAGTGACAGGAGGCCACTCAGGGTGCCATAGGCCCCGTGGCTTCCCGGTCTCAGTTGGGACCACAGGCCACCAGTGCGAGAGTGCACACAGAGGGGGTGAGCCAACCCCACCAGAGCCACAGCGGAAGGCAGACAGAGCGGGGGAGGCCAGGACGGCCTCAGATGGGAGGGGACTTCTCCAGGGTGCCACCGGCCCCGGAAGCCCCTCCACCGAGGAAGAGGAGCGGTCCCAGCCAGGGCACTTTCCCCCGCACCCACCGAGGCAGTGGGAAGACCCCCCAGAAAGACCCAGAGGTGAGGATCCGCCCGGCAAGGGGCGTTCCAAGACCGGGAAGCGGGAAGAACCGCCAGGGCAAGCAGCAAGCCCAGGGACAGATGACGGGAGGGTCAGACAAAGGACGCACGGAATCCCTAGGGGGGGGCAAGCCCCACCAGAAAGACTGAGGCTCAGACTGAGGTGGACACCACGGCCGGTGTCGGAGTCATCAAAGCCGTCCCTCATCCTGCTGTACGCTGGGAAGGATGATGCGGGGGCCCTGCATTCTTACCTCCAGCCTTCTCGGAGTACATTTGGGCGGTGGACATCAGGCGGAAGGGTGGAGACCTTGGCATGCTGGGCGAGGAGCCGTACTCCACGATGTGCTCCATGGCCATGGCGGGCAAGGTCGCCTTGGTGGGGGGCGGCCTCAACTGCAGGGGCCGCAGGTGGGCTCCTCCTTCTTGGAGCACCCGATGGACCCAATGGAGTGCAGGAAGAGCCCGAGCGCAGCGAGGTGCTCATCGATCTGGGTCACACGGGCCTACATTCAATGGGCGAGCGCACTCCACCACTCCCTCATCAAGTTTGACGAGTGCCGCCTGGGCCAGGTGGTTGTGAAGTCCACGACATTGTCAACGGACCTTCCCCTTCACCATTGGCATGATCTGCGTTGCAACCACGGGGCTCACCCCAGGGGAAAAGCTCAACTCCAGTGACCTCAGCCGGCACCCGGAGCAGATGATGCAGGGCCTCGCAGCGGCCATCCCTTGCCGAGCGGGACCCGTCCTGGAGGCGCTGAGGCCGGGGGGCACGGCGCCCCAGGCGAACCCAACGACCCCCCCGAGGCGGCAGAGGGAACCTTCTCCCAGCACGCCGGGGGACAACAAGCGCCAGTCCCGGAGGCTGAAGGCTGGCCAACAAGCGTTGGCAGGACTAACCTTGGGTTCACTTCCGGTCTCGGCCTCGGACAATCCGGAGGTCCGGACACCGACACAGAGGACTGGCGAGACGGACGAACTGGGGGGGGGAACTCTTTCCCCTGAGCCATGGGCACACCATGGCATGGAGATCTCGGATCGGCCCACCATCCTGCCGATCACGCACGACCCCAATCTCTCCGACAAGGTCATGTACCTCCAGATGGCCTTCAAGCAGCGCCCCCTAAGGGACGGAGGAGGAAAGCCCTCATTGGGACGGTTGGCCCCATGGACCCGGCCACTGTCCAAAGCAGCAGCGATGGGGGCCAAGATCTGTGTCCTCACTTCGCCATGGGGGGACAAGCTCCAGGAGTCGCTCTCGTTGGGGGATGGGTCACGGACCCACCCCTGACCTCGCCGGGCATCTGGCCACTCAAGAAGGAGCTGAAAGGGGAGGAGCCGGAGTTCCAGGAACTCCCTCACCCAACGGGCAGGGGTAACTACCCCTCGGCGGATCACTTCAGCGAGCGCATCCGGGGCACATTTCTGGAGGTCCCCATGGGCATGGTGGAGGGCCCCTTCAGTAAGGTGGAGGCAGCATCGCGCTGTGGGGACCTTTGTCCCGGCCCCCTGGCGGGCATCGACGAGGGGGACAAGATCCGCACGATCTACGATGGCTCGGTGGGAGGGGCCAATGACACCATCAGGAACCAGACGGTGGAAAGGACGACGGCTCCGACGGTGCTGGATGGGGTCCAAGCTCTTCATTGGCTACATGCGGCAGCTGCGGAGGGACCCCCCTCTCAGGCCCCGAGAGGGGGGTCGTCAAACCTCCACCTGGGGGCTGGTTATGGCCGGAGCCGGGCACCAGGTGGGTGCTGCTCAAGGCGGACGTCACCAAGGCCCACCGGAGAGTGAAGGTCCTCACGAAGGACTGGCGGTTCCAGGTGGCTTCACTGAAGGAAGAATGGTGGGTGAACAAGGTAGGCACATATGGCATGGCCAGTGCCCAATCCTACTGGGGACGCCTGGCAGCCCTTCTACTCCGGGTCCTCTACGCACTTTTCCCTCAAGTGGATTGGAACTTCGTCTTTGTCGATGACTTCCTGTGGCTGCTTCGAAGCGAGGGGGCAGTAAACTTGGCGGTGGCGCTGCTGGCAACACTCCTGGCCTTGGGCACCCCGCTTAGCTGGAAGAAGACGCATTTGGCGGAGGTTAACACGTGGCTGGGATTCGTGGTCCACCCGAACATCCCGCAGGTTCTCATGGCAGCCAACAAACACATCCTGGTTATGGAGGTTTTGCAGACCATGGTGGAAGGGCAGGCGATGCACTCAAAGGACATCGAGAAGGCCCTGAATCGCATCCAATGGGCGACGGCTGCATGTCCGCTGGCGAAGTCGATGCTCCAGCCACTTTGGGCCTGGAAGATGGCCACCACCACGGTGGGGAAACCCCCCAAGGTGGTCAGGATGCTGGCGTTCATGCTGCGGTTCCTCTTCAACACGCCTTTCGTCCAGTACTCCCCTTACTTGCCGAAGTCCTCTTGGTGGGGTTGCAGCGATGCTAGCGCCTCGGACGAAGGACTGGCATTTGTGGGAGGTTGGTGCTCCAACAAAGTGGAGCCGGAAAAGAAGGAGGTGTACTGGTTCCACGAGCAGATCCACGTGGAGGAGTACCCTTGGGCTTTCAAGAATGGGGATCCCAAGCGGAGGATTGCGGCTCTGGAGATGCTGGGCACGCTCTTCCTCTGTAACATGATCCTCACGCACCAAGGCCCTCTGTCCTCCCGGGTCCGACTCCCGGTGGGCAGTGACAATCAGGGCAACGTCATGGCGATGCTCAACCTTGGATCCAAGAAGCCCTACACGGCGGCGATCCTGATGGAGCTGGTCTTCCTGCTCCACACCCATGGCAAGCAGGAACTCTGCGAGGAGTTCGTTTTTCTCCCGCGTCTCCTGAATGGAGATGCATTTGATCTTAGCGTGGGCCCACCCATGCTCCCGTGACCGGAGCCGGTGGGCGACTCACTTCCCCTGGTGGCAGACCCCCTGTGGCCTGGGTGCCACGGGCCCCGGCTCAGGGCGCTATCAGTCTGCACACCCGTTCTTCAGTTTTTGTGAGTTGGGTGGCCCATGGGGCCCACCCAGCCTTTGTCATCTGACAGGGGAAGATGAGTCCCTGGCACCAACACACTGCTCGGATAAAAGAGTTATCGCGTGCTTGTGTGTGGTGCCGTTTGGTTAGCTTGCATACACGGCCCGAAAACAAGCAACAGACACTTTTAGTCTCAAGCAAGACTTTCGGCCAATTTGCCACGGGAAGAGCTGGAAATACGTGGGTCTACTTACGAGTACCTAGACTTACCAATGCTTGCTCTGGTTTTTATCTTAAGACAAAGCTGCAATTGGTCATTGTTCTTCATCAAGCAGGAAAGCGTTAGTTGGTGATGACGGCTACTGAGGTGGATGCAGCCTCCGAAAGGTCTCATGTTTGGGAGCGCGTGAGAAGTTTATCGTTTTGAGTTTCATCATCACGTCGATTCTCGTTTGCTTTGAAGCTTGGTTTGATGCTTCCACACGCATTGGCCATTGCAGGCCATGACACATATGCAGTAGGAGGGTGGCCCCTCTCTTCCCCAGCCTTGTTCTAGGCATCCAAGTGTGCAGTCTGTGCTTGTCTTGGCAGAGTCAGCCAGATAAAATGATGCAATAACGTCCGTGATTCACGACCTGAAAGGAAGTTCATGCTGAATTAAGTTTGTCAGATGAATTCCACCAGTTGCATGTGGCACCTGGTACGGAGAGATACCTGGGATGTGGGGAGAGTGGCATGTGCAAACTTCAGTCTTTATCTGGCTCCTCTCAGCACAGTCTCAAGCGTCCTTTTCTTTCCCACTACTGGGTATGCCAATGCCTTTTGCTCACGCATCTCCATCCCTACGCCAGGAGATGGAGCGCATGGGGCCTGGGCTTGGACCTTATTGCCACATGGGATCAAGATCACCTTGAAGCTGTGGCTTGCGATGTAGCCCTATGGATCGCAGTTGTCCATGTTTGCGTACGATGACATGGCCTTCAGACACTCTGCGAACTCGTTGCGACCATTTGCCGAATAAGCGCTAGCGGCTTGCCTCAAATGGGCTAGGCGCGTGTCCGGTCCGGAGAGCTGCTCCGAGGTTCCCAGGCGCCGTGAACTCTGGGAATGGCGGCAGCTGGAGCCTCAGAAAGCTGCAGCTGGTTGAGCTTGGTCTCGCTTTCTTTTGACTTTGAACGAATGCGAACGGAAGATGTACTGGGCTGAACTGAAGCAACCTCTTAGCAGTCGACGGCTTGCTATGTGCAGTGCTTTGTTCAACAGCAAGCGCGAGCAGAACACCGATAAGCACTTATATACGACCGAGCCCTGTCGAAGGAGTCCCAGATCGCAGGTATTGTTTCAAGTTTCAAGTCTTGTCATCACACCGACAGAATATGGTGTGATACATGGTTGCGGGAAATGGGAGGGTTTGGTGCATGGTATCAGGCAAATCTCCTTGAAAGTGGCATGCGTAGTAGGGATGGCCCATTCCAGTATCACAGAAAGGTGTATCATCTACCATGACCAAGTCACATCGCTTGGATGGTGCTTATTTGGGACCTAGAACAATCCGTCCAAAGCTGGACACCAAGAGGAAGCGGTTGGATGCTCACAAATCAAAATCAAGCCAGATCGCATGGATCCATGTTAACAGGAGCTTCCTATTTTTGGAAGACCTGTGCTCAGGTTTCAGCTGCCAGACCTTCTCCTTTTCCTCTCGCATGGGTGCGGAGCCCTGGGCGGGATGCATGCTTTTGTGGTGTTTCAACAGAAATTGGGGGCATCCTCAGAGTGGTCCAGCACGCAGTTCAAACAATGGTGTGCCAACATGTTTGTAATCTCTTTTCGGAAGACTTTCAAATTAGTGTGTGTGTGTGTCTCTCCTGAAATTGGGAACATTCTGAAGGAAAACGCGGATCAAACAGGTGTTCCACAAATTCAAGGCACTCTCGTGTTGGAGTCCTCAAAGGAACCCGTAGAGACTGGAATGGGCGAAGTACATCGCATGGCTCAGCGCATGTAGAACAGCCACGATGAACACTAGCAAAGCAGGTCCTAAAGCCTCTCCCCCTCCCCCCATTTCGCGCATCAAAAAGGGATTCTATACCAAAGGCTCAGCGTTCTAGCCCCAATGCCCCAATGTTTCTTCGGCAAGAGTAGAGAGTTGGTGTTGTTTGTTTGCGTTCCGGCTAAGTTGCGATTGTGTGTGTGTCGAGACAAAACACGAGGCTATGGCTTCAGCTCAGCCAGGCATGCCAGCACAACTGCCTCGGCCGAGCGGCAAGAAAGAAGCAAACGCGATACGTCCGGACTTTGTACTATCCGTGTACTCGTTGAAATTGGTGAATTTATTTGTGCCATCAAAGACTTCCCATACTTTATTTGCTCTGACTTGTGCTGGAACCAGAGTGTACAGTTCCTTGCAGGCCAGACTTGCTACTTGATGATATTTGCGCGTATTTCCGAGAACGCACCTCTGCTGAATCACCGCTGTCAAACGGAGATTGAGCTGCCGAACGGTGCTTGGAGATCCGAGAACTAGGTGTCTACTGACACGTTGTAGCTTTGGATCCTGAGTTAAAGCGCGCTTGGCACATGGCCCCTTGTACTTGAAGGTTGCGGTGTCCAGCTGGAGCTGTCAAAGAGGATTTATTTCGCAATTACACACGAAATTAAACGTTCGCGATGTTTGAGTTTGAGCTCCCAAAGTGTACTTTGTGGCACTGAAAGGAGAACGACCCAACAATGATAGCGCCCGTAGGGTTCAAAAGATCTTGTGCGTGGTGGTTATTATCAGGTTCACAGCTCCACTTTGGGTTTCAGGCAACATAGTGAGACTGTTTTGGTGTGATATTGCAAACGTGACCAGACGGCAAGTTGCTTTTGAAGATCTAGTGCTTCGGCTATGATTTTATTTGATTGGAGAAGAGGAGTGTTCGTGTGACCTACATGCATACACCGTGCTCAATCGAGAGGAGCCAGTGGGAAGTAAAAGGAGACCATGTTGTTCCCAGCGGCCAACCGACGACTAACCCTAACCGACGACTAAGCTTGTGCATCGGCGATGAATAGCATGCCGGGTCTGATT